AATAGATACCAAAACGAAACGATAAATCTTTTCGTTCGAGTAGTGTGGTTAACCGTTTCTCACAACGGACAAATATATTACAATCCAAACAAATTCCAATGTGATAACAAAAACGAAAAATTGCAAGACACAAATCCAATTTATCATAAAGTTAATCAGCATGATCGTCAAACTGAATAATCATTTACGGATACAACTAATGTCACCAATCAACTGTTATAAATAGAGAGAAGAAAAAGCATGTGTCACTATAAACCACATCCACACCCACACAAAACATACTCTATTTGTTGATTTTTGACGTTGTTTTTTAGCTGCTACGAATATTAATGGGCTTGCTTGGCGTTTAGTTGCCTGAACACTTCGTTCCGGCGCAAATTTATGTCCACAGTGTATACATGTAATCCTATGACCTGAAAAATATTAGTAAGGTTGGTCACATGTTTACCGCTACTCAAGCGATCTTACATTCAGCCTTTGCTGTTTTTACTATTGGTGTTGATGTTTTTTTCCGTTGCCGTTCTAATTGAGGAAAGATGAAAGAAAAAAGTAATGCCCCTTTAAAGTTTTACTATCTGAAACATACTTTCTTGTTCAGTCATTATCTTTGATATAAAAGTTGTCTCATGCAGCACTTGAATTTCATCTTCATTAATGTCAAATGCTAATGGTGCACCTTTCTTATTGTCATTCAATTGTTGGTTGTTACCATTATATCGACATAGAGTAAATGCAAGTTGCGACTGTTCTAATTTATATTGCTTTAATTCGGCTGAAGTTAATGATATTATGGATTCGATTAACTGACCATCAAGTCTAAAGGGTCGGAACGCTCGAGCACACAATAGTTCATCTAATTTGCTTCTGATGCACACTAATTTTATCCTACAAATAGATTCCACAAACATTGAGATCAACCATCTCTAGATCGGTTTGACTTACGTCAGTTGTCCAGTATCAACATCGACATGTTGATTAACTTTATAGTAAATTGGATTTCTGTCTTGCAATTTTTCGTTTTTGTTATCACATTGAAATTTGTTTGGATTGTAATATATTTGTCCGTTGTGAGAAACGGTTAACCACACTACTTGAACAAAAAGATTTGTCGTTTCATTTCGGTACATTTTAGGGATCTAGAATAGATGAGAACTATCAAGTTTAGAAAAGAAAGAATCGAGTATACTTACTATCAATGTTATGAAACGTTTTCTATTTAGTGATCCTACATAACGGGGTGGCAAAGCTTTTCCCGCATGTTTTCCATCACGCGGAAAGAGTTCGCGCTTTAATTGTGGACGATATTTCGGCCTTATGTCAT